CCAAATGAAGATTTAATCACTGCTGATTATCTATCTGTGTTAAAGAGCAAGTCTTCATTAACAAAAGTAGACCGTCGACTTTCTCGTAGAATTCGTTTGGAGAGCAGAAAGTGAGGACACAAAATCAGTTAATTTTTGAAGCGCATAAAATCCCTCATATCTCGCGACACAGAAGACCTAGAAAAAAGATGACGGTCTACATCGATTCCCCATGATCTCAGCTTTCGAATGGTATACAGCATGTTAGGGCTCCTTTGCTTCCCGCCTCTAAAAATCATTTGCTCCGGTAACCGATAAAAGCCAGTACATTGTAAGAGCGAGGTGGAGCAAGCTAATAGTAAAAAAATGTGCTGTGGATTGACACCGTTATCAGCGCTAACGGGAACTCGAGCGAACGCGTCTATTTAAGCGTGCTTATCGTTATTATATGTTTATGTTTTTTTAAGTAAAAAATGCGCTTTTGATTGACAGTTGTGCCATCATTATCAGCACATACTCAAAAAAAACCTATGGGAGATTGGTGAATTTCCACACCTTCAAACAAAAATCCGCCCATTTCTGGAAACTGTACTCTGTAAACCTAGTGCTGAAGAAGGTCACTTCGGTGAAAACGCTCTAGACTCACCTAACTGTAGAGAATGGTTGGTTTCAATGAATCAAAAACTTTGAGGCATTCAGAAGAACAACATGTTATTAAAATATCCTTCAAAAATCCTTTAGAAAGGTTGGCAGTTCAAAGAAGAAGCGGCAGGCAGATTACTTTACAAAATCGCAGATGACCCGCATGTGTTCCAGTTCAACAGCGAGGCAGAAGGAGAATCTTACGCCGACGAATATGTTGTTGACATTGATACAGAGTTGACCTTTGAGCGAAACTCTCTATTTCGTACTTCAGAAATCCAAGCAGATTGCCTAGTCTCAATGAGGAAATGTCCAAGAAGTCCATTGCTGATCTTCGGGTTGCTGAAGATTCCAAGGCTGCTAAATTCACGAACATGGATATGAACAAAAGGAAGGTTTTAGTACAAAGCATAGCTACTGCTCTTAGATCCCGACTGGAGTATGAACTTAACTCTTTGCTTTATGCTGCTGGAAGTATCTCGCCTTGTGACAATATGACCTATGATATTGAAAAAAAACCAACGCGCAGCATAGTACCTACTTTTTTTCGGCTGTTCCGCAAATGCTGTTGAAGAAGAAGTTGAGCGGCTTTCTCGTCAGCTAGCAAGACGTAAGCCAGAGGAGGTGAAGCCAGAGTTCGACAAGGCCCAAAAAAGTATGCAATATTTACTTCCCGTGTTGCGAAAGCATATGCGATCTGGCTCTTTCCCCATTACTTACCGCAAAAATCTCATGGGCTTACTAGCAAAGCTAGTTCCCATTCCGACTAGCACGGCAGAGGTGGAGAGGGGATTCCCTATCTACTCTGCTATCAGAACGCAACGCAAAACTCGTACAACGGTGGAGCATCTAAGCAATTACTTAAGATTTGTCAACCTTCTACCGAACAAATTGTTATCTAAAAACTTCATTTAAAGGATTGCTATAAGTGGTCCAGACAGGCTGTCATCGTATGACTTCTTGAAATATCCTAAAAGATGGTATGAAGAAACTAGCTTTGCTAGTAAGCCCATGAGATTTTTGCGGTAAGTAATGGGGACTGGTCAGCTACCTGCTGACTTCCTGTGGCCGTATTCATCAACGAACAACCCAGTGGGTTCCGAAACCCATTTAGTGGTTTTGATGAATATCGATTCTACATCGATATTCATCAAAAGCACTAAACTGGGTTCCGGAACCCACTGGGTTTTCGTTGATGAATACGGCCACTGGTGCTACCAGAGGGCCAGGAAAAAAAAACACAAAAGCGCTTAGGAGGAGAAGAACGTTTCAAATCCATTTTCGACTTTGAACGCTTTTTGACGCAATTCTACTTCTACTTCGATGATCTTTTGACAGAAGAAGAAGATCTTTCATGCAGCGAATTTGTTGTCTCTGACGTTAGCGATAGTGATATTGTTGATGATGATGTGCAGAAATTGTAAGTTGTTCCTAACTTGTACATCTTTTGGGATACCTTATTGCTTTTGTTTTTTGTTGATGCAATGAAATAGGAGCACAGATCATCATAAAGTCAATTTTTTCGATTTATTAGGTTGCACCGAAAGTTCTTTTGCACATTCAAAAATTTATAACTTCTGAATTTTCCAGCCTATTGGAACGCTCTTATTTTTTTCTAAAAGAGTAAGTCATGCTCTTTATAACGACTTCTTAGATGCTTGCTAATGATCTGTTGCGTAGATAGGAGCAGTAGAAGAAAATTAGTCAAAATTCGAATTTTCTGTGTAGGGTCATAAAAAATCGAAAACTTGCAACAAAAATCGGAGCAGTCGGTATTGTAGGTTCTTTCACCAGCTCTTCCTAACAGTGCAAAGTTTGCGCCGATTGAGCGTCTCTTTGAAAAGTTACAATTTCTCTGAAAAATACCAAAATAAACCAAAATCATCCTTTTGTATTACTTGCTCGAAAATCGTAACTTTTCATAGAGACAATAAAAAGCATAAAAAAGCAAAAAAAAGCAATAAGCACAGCACATAAAAAGCAATTTGTACCTAAATAAGGTGCAAATTAGAGCACTTCATACCACGCTTTTTTACCTTTTCTCTCTCCCCCCCCCCAGGCTCACGTACCCCCTTCACCTGGAAGGTCGGAAACAGCCGAGACCCCCTTCACCTGGGGAGAGCCCGGCTCCCCCTATCGCACCTATGCTATCAGCTGAGCTGGTGGTCTAACAGGAACCTTGACACTTTGCTCACATTGCTGCAGAGACGTTGTCGAATGGATTGCAGATCGTATTACCCATTTCAGGCTCTGAAGAAGGCGATCTGCCAAAAATTTAGCCGATAAAGTATTGTAACAAACTCGGTCACGGCTCACAAACAACACACAATATAATACTACCATGCCGAGGTTCATCAAGAGTCGTACATTCCTTCTGTCTACAAGGTATCTAATTTGATATGCTTTTATATGATATGTGCTGAAACAAAAATGGGGGGCAAAGCCCTCTACAGCTTCTTGGAGGTGCGACTTCGCTTAAGCTTTCAAGGAAAGCCTTCTCAGTAGAAATAATCTCTAGATGAATCTTACATTAATTTGAAGAGCATTGAATGCTAACATATCTGTTTTTATCCTTTGCCAAACGCACCTGTACGCCAAGTTAGAGTGTTTTTAGAGCGAAAAATGAATGCATAACTGGAAAGAAAACAATGGTTACGATTTCTTCTGCGCTCATATAGGGTGGTGTTGAGTATGAGGGTAAAAGACAGAAGGTATCCATTGAATAAAGTGCCCTGAGAATTAGCATTTGAGTATTTGAGTAGTTGTGGACGATTTTATTTCAATTGCGTATTCAATTTCTCGCTCTAAAAACGCTCACAATATGGCCTCTAGAGGGGATTGGCAGATAGTGAAGAAAGATTTAGAATCATCATTCAATGCTCCACAAATTGATGTAAGTATCATGTGGAGAACCACTTTGACTCAAAAGGCTTCTTTTAGATATTAAGCAAAACTGCATTCCAACTTTGCAAAGCGGTTGTTTGTATAACCATGCTTCAAAAAAGTTTGGATATCAGATAACTCTTTGGGAAATACTACTCCTCTGAGCATTTGATTTCAATCATTTTTTCTGAAATATTAGGTTGTCCCGAAAGTTTTGTCCGTTTTTCAACCTATCATGAAAACACGAGGAATGAGGGTAGGGAAACGCTCCAAGGACTACCCGACGCACCTTTTCCTCCTCTTTCTAACTGTCATGCCTTCATGCCGATTAATCTTTTGTTCACCGAGATAAATGCCGAATCGAACCCATGGTTTTTACTATGTCCTTTTGGCAATTTTTCACAGTCTTTATTTTTGACTTTCGGGAAAGCTTTGGCAACATTCAGATAGAGCAAGTAAAGGGCAATATAATGCAATTTTGCGGCATCTATAGCTAGCCTTGAAAATTTTCTAGAATTATTTTTCTGATGCTATCAAATTCCACTTTTGGTGATGCCAAAAGCCAGGCATCATGAGACAACGCACAACTAAGGTGTTATTCGATGCAGCTTTTCCTCCTCTTTCCAGTGAGTATATTTTCCCTCCAATTTGTGTGGTCTTTAGCGATTTTCCATAATTTTTGAATTTGACCTCGCCCCAGCGTATACTGTAAAATGCGAAATTCTATATTTCGAAGCGGTAAACGCTCAGTTGATTTAGTAAAAATAGTGAATAATCGTTTGATTGTTGAAAGCTTCAAAATCCGATGATTCGTTAGTGTTCGAGGCGTTTCTGTATTTCGGGACTTCGCAAAAGTGAAGACTTTTGAATTATCTTAAAAAATACTGAAAAGCCAGCTGGATAAGCCAAAAAATTGCATTGCATTGCCCTTTGTTTACTCTATCTGAGCGCTATCAAAGTTCTTCCAAAAGTTGAAAATGAAGATTGTGAAAAATTGCCAAACTTGGACATAGCAAAAACCACGGGTTCGAAATTTCGGCCTTTATCTCAGCGAGCAAAAGAGTAATCGGCATGGAAGCATGAAAGTTAGAAAGAGGAGGAAAAGATGCGTCGGGAAATGCTTGGAGCATTTCAAAACCTTCATTGCTCGTGTTTTTATGATAGGTTGAAAAAACGGACAAAACTTTCGGGATAACCTATTACGATAACAAAGATATGAATGTGATTTTTTCATTCAGTATCTCAATACTCGCGGAAAGGTGAAACAAGGTCAAAGGACTCAGGGAAAAATATCGGAAAGATGATCAGCAAACGGCAGCAGTAACGACATTGGGTGGTAAATGAATAATTTATAATATTAATACCTGATTGAGTGACATTGTGTACTATGTAAACAACAAATCAAGTACGCGCAAGAAGCCAAGGCGTTATGTCAAAAAAGCAAACATATGAGGTATTACAATCCAATAAGTGAAAACAAGTATACTGATGCAAAGTGCTAATTAAAGTGAAGTACTTGGTCAGATGTGAAATGCTCTCAAGAACACAACAAGCTATTTTATCACTTTTATCAAGGAATGTGTATTTAAACTGAAGGATTATCCCAGAAAGCTGGTCATGCCTTTGAGTACGGCAGCACCTTGATCGAGGAAGGAGCGATCGTCCTGAAGTTACAGACGATTAAGAAATTATCGGGAGTACAATCAAATGTTGTTCCAAATAAGAGTCTTCAAAAGGGAACTGCGCAGATTCGAGCAAGAGGTATGGCACACAGCCACCGGATACGACCCCGCCTTTTCCCAGTATTATCGTTTGCCTACGAAGGCATGACATAAAGGCTCTACCAAGCATGACTGGTAACATATTCGTGATTTTCATGTTAAATACTCTGTGGGCCAAGTTTCAAATGTTGGGAATTCCCAATATTGAGCCACCCACTCAAAAAGACCATTTTCAAACATGGTTAACCATATTCCAAAGCAAATTTGCTATCTTTTGTACTCAGCACTATTTCCTATTAGCCGATACCATGAACGCTGCTTTAGACAAGACATGGTATGGGCTAATAGAAAATAGTGCTCGTATTGAGTAGCCAGCCAAAATCTAATTTGTCCCATTTTTCGCTTACAGTGATTGTGTTTCCAGCAAATCCTGAGGCCGTGTTCATTATTGCTACCTAGGGTAAAATGAACCTTGAAGTAGATTGTACCTCAAGGTATCGTCGAGTCATTTGTAAGTTAATATGCGTAGTGCACACTATTCACGCTAACTGGCGAACTGCGAAACTAGAACCTGCCCATATCCAGTGATTTCTCCTTGTTTTCCTGTTCCGTTTGTTTTAGTGGGTTATATGTCAGCCAGTAGAACACATTTCTACATTTTGCTAGGCTAAAAAATGTTTCACTGGGAAGTTATTAGTGTAAATGCCGTCGCTGATAGGGCTTGGTGTGCATTCTCACATATTGATTTACAAATGACCTTAGGTTACATTCTAGCTTAAGCCCCGGACAGACTTCACTCGATTTGATCGTCGCGACTGAATCGCGACGAGACAACTGTTACAACATCATCCCATGCCGATCAACTTGCATTTCGGTTGTGATACTTTTCCAGCCCGAAATTTTTGAATGTAAAATAAAAATGAGCGGAAATGTCGGCGACTGAGTAGCGACGAGCAAATCGCGCGAAGTCTGTCCGGGGCCTAAAGCATCTCGAAAAACATCGTTGCAAGAGAGCTATTTACGATCAAACAGTAGGCACACTTTTTTGGGACTCCCTGTATTTGACTTACTATTTTCGATGTTCACTTTGCTTGGAACAGTCGTTCTATAGAACGAAGACTCAGTGAGCTCTCTTCCTTAAAGGCAGTACTTCGGCAGAATGAGACCCGTGACAAAACAAGGCCACAGGGTAGGGGCCCCCATATGGAACCTATCGGCCAAAGTCCGATCTTTCTCTGCCACTTCTAACCCCCGAAATTTCGAGCGAAAGCAGCGCTCATCTCCTGTCCTCTCCGAACCCGCCCACCCCATGGACGAGTGACTTCCACGGTCAGAGCGCGCAGCCGCAATGCTATAAGCATGAGGTCCCAACGACTCTGCGTCTTCGCCACCACGGCTTCGCGTTCACTCGTCCATGGGGTGGGCGGGTTCGGAGAGGACAGGGGATGAGCGCTGCTCTCGCTTCGAAATTTCGGGGGTTAGAAGTGGCAGAGAAAGATCGGACTTTGGCCGATAGGTTCCATATGGGGGCCCCTACCCTGTGACCTTGTTTTGTCACGGGTCTCATTCTGCCGATGTACTGCCTTTAAAGGCATTGTCCCCAATTCGGTTTTTGGTTTTTGGAGCCTTCTCCTATACTAAACCCACATCTGGGATTTGCAGCGCTTGAAAATGACGTAGATGAATGAAAAAGATGGAGAGAATTAGTTTCCTCTGCATTTCGCTTCGCATAAAATAGTGCAAGTAGGCGGGGTCCGAAAGACTTGTGGGGGTGGGTTTTACTGCCTTCCAAACGCGCTTTTTCGCTCTAGACTTTACTGATAGATTAGTTGTGGGTGGGGTCTGACAATGCACTGCAGGATCAGTAATCATCGCTTTGCCGGACGCTGCCTTTAAACTGTCTTCTTCTAAATCTCCCAGGGTCCCCATCGTATTCGTCAATCACGATTAAATGAAAAAAAAAGAAATACCTATCCACAAAATGATATGACACACCAATTTGTGATTCAAATTACATTTTTCCCCTGTTTGGTGCAACAATGTGTGTAATAAATGAATATAGGCTGTTTCAATGAGATTGCCTGAGCGCGTCCTGATGCTCAGGCCTCGCGCCGCGTTTGCGGACTTATTTTTTGGGCATTTTCTTACGCATCAGCATAAACCGCAGACTGGCGGTCTTGCAAAATTGCAGACGCATCCGGACAATATATTCGCATCCGGTGCAAAGCCAGAGTGAGGCGGCTACGAGAAGAAAGGCCACTGGAATGACACTCCTATGGAGATCCCGATTTTTGATGAGCTTGCTTTTTTGAAAGCACTACCGGTTTTTGGAAAAGTGACAATAATTCCTGTCTTCTCGTCTTGACACTTTGTATTGGACGTGTGGACGTTGCTGTTGTGTGTGTTTTTACTGCTTTTGTAAACTTCTGCGCTTGAGTTCGCTACAATTTTTCGTTTGCCAGACATGCCAAAAGCAGTAAAAACACACACAACAGCAACGTCCACACGTCCAATACAAAGTGTCAAGATGAGAAGACAGGAATTATTGTCACTTTTCCAAAAACCGGTAGTGCTTTCAAAAAAGCAAGCTCATCACAAAGCGGGATCTTCTGTCTTCTGTAGAAGAATTGCAGTTGTTGAGAATTACCCTGCAACCCTAACAGCATTAGAGGAGTGCAAGACTCTTTGCCGAGTTTGCTATAGGCTCGCTTTCGAATCACAACAGTTGAGCAAAAGGTAACATTAAGGCGGTAAATTTGGTTTGGAAAATTAACCCAAGGTATAATTTTTAGTTCAGCCTGTCGTTTGCGAAATCCGCTCCAGGTTAGGTTGCGCATCGAGCAATATCATAAGTTCTCTATAATGATCTGCGCAACAGCGCCGTCTTTGTCCTCTCCCATTCCTGAAAGGAAGGCCTTGGAAAAGCCTGTGCTTGCCGTTCTTACGCTCAGGATATTGCCGAGATCAGCGAAAGAAACATGTCTGGCAAACGAAAAATTGTAGCGAAAACGCAGAAGTTTACAAAAGCAGTAAAAACACACACACTTACGCTTTCCACTTGCGTTCTCGAGTACAATGTCGAGATTAGCGAAAGAAGAAAGTCAGTCAAACGAACGTAGCAAACTTATACGTCTATAAACGCAACGTCTATAAACAAATCTAAGAGGCATGGTGTCTGAGCTCTGAACTCACAGTCGAACAGTTCGACGAGGCAAAAATTTAAAGTACCGAACTTTGAACTTACTGGCTCCTCTCCACGATTACATAGGTCTCTATCTTTGCAACAACAGAACGTCATTGGTATGCCGGTGATATTGCGTTCAAAACATTTATCTTCATTGAACTGCAAAATACGTTTTACTCAAAAAGGAAATTTTGATCTACTAGATCGCTTTAGGGGAAACACTCTAGCTTTACCTGACACACAAGCGTGTTGCATCCGGCCTTTTGTATCGTGCTGAACGAAGTGACCTCTGCGGTAGCATTATAACAAGAATCAGTCTCCTTCTCACATATTTTTGTCTTTTCTCCCACTGTTGAACCTAAATTTGAACAGAACGCTATAATGATTACACAAAGTTATTTAAAAAGCGTTACCTTTCAAAACGGAATACCCAATGTAGCATTCAAGCGAATTGGTCAAAGTCACCGAGAGAGAGAAAATCACACAAAAGGCGCCGTACATCAACTTGCATTACAGCAGGAGCGCGGTTTTTTGCCCAAACAAGGCTGAGAGAAGAGGAGGTGTGGAGTACAGTTAATTAATGTTTGTTAGACGGACATACATTGATTGCAATGTTTCGAATTTTTTGATAAACAAGAATGCTGAAGAGTAAAGTCACATCATTTCTCAAAAATGCAATCTTTTGACATTGCAAACGATCTATTTAATTTTTATTTTATTTGAAGGAGAAAAACATGGCTTCAATAAAAAAGCATCCGTGGGCTGACATTAATAATAAGAGCCCCACAATTCTGAATCGCTGTAGTGAATTCTAGAATAGTCGGTAATATGATTTTTCTCATTCACACTTTCCGAATGCGCAAAGGGTGTGTTGGTAGGTTTCCAAGCAGAGTGATAAGTTTCGAAATTACGGAAATTGGGAAAGGATAAAATTATAATAAAACCTTGAACAGGATTAAACCACTCAGTGATATAACTTGTCCATGAAAATGGAATAAATAGAAAATGGAAAAAAAACTTAAGGTCCCTTTTGGAAACTTTTTAAAAAATGGTACAGCTTGTGTGACAGCGATTAAGTTGCGGTAATGATTCCGATTTGCATAGTTCCACTCTAAAAGGTTATATTAATAGTACTATTTCCAAATGTTCAATTCCCAATTTTCTAAGTTCCATCTTATACAGGGTTTCTCAGATAAATTGCACACCGTCGGTCGTTAATAACTCGTTTGCTTTGATGTCTCTCGCCGATGTTTGGATACGGTCTTATAGGGCGAGGTTTAACTTCAAAGGAACCGTGTCGAGTCGATGTGGCCTTTCCAGATGGGGCCCATACTGCTTTGAAGAGCATTAATCGGTGATTTCAAATCTGCTTTCCAAATCTGCCAAGCGCCTCTGGACGCCGACTTATGCTCGTTTTTAAGGTCAAAAAAATTGAAAGCAAAACTGAAGCAAAATCGCCCAAATACGCTCAAATGGTCCAGTGTCAAGTATCCGAGCTGTTTATGCAATGGATACATTTTATTTATTATGCTAATACTTAACATTGCTTTATCTGAGCGCTGGAAAGATTGTAACAATCAATTTTACCTAAATTCTGCATTAATTTTTCGTTCCGAAGAACGGTCATAACTCGGCGTCCAGAGGCGCTTGGCAGATTTGGAAGGCAGATTTGGAATGACCGCTTAATACTCTTCAAAGCAGTATGGGTCTCATCTGAAAACTACACTTCGACTCGACACGGTTCCCTTGTTAGTTTCGCAGTATGAAGCGAAACTTCGATCTCTTTTTGCTACTGTAGGATCACAGTATGAACTTTCAGCACATGGCGCCATTGTATTGGGTCATCTTATATATAAAGCTGAATGTCTGTTTGTCTGTCTGTCTGTATGTCTGTATGTCTGTCTGTCTGTCTGTCTGTACGTATGTTCCGAATAGAAAATTCCATTTCTGAACCGATCCGGACCAAACTTGGCACACATACACTACGGGCCCCGGCGGGTGTCATAGGCTACTTTTCGTCATCGATCGATATCGATTTTACCGATTTTTATCGATTCTTTTGCTGAGTTCACCTACGGGGCTGAGAGTTGGCACAGGGGGGTAATCGAGCATGGGGATTCCGAAGGACGATCTTGAAAACTAATATTGTGTTCGTAATCAGCATGCTCGATTACCCCCCTGTGCAAAATCCCAGCCTCGCATGTCAAAATTTACAAAAAATCGATAAAATCAATAAAAGTAATCGATAGTTCTGAAAACTAATATTGTATTCGGAATCCCCATGCTCACTTTCCCCCCTGTGCCAACTCCTAGCCCTGTAGGTGAACTCTGCAAAAAAATCGATAAAAATCGGTAAAATCGATATCGATCGATAACGAAAAGTGGACTGTGACACCCGCCGGGGCCCGAAGTGTATGTGTGCCAAGTTTGGTCCGGATACGGCGGAGCCGGGTAAGCCAGCTAGTTCGATAAAAAATTCAAAAAAAACTCTGGAAATTTGTGTAGTAGGGTTTTCAAGATGCTGATTTCATTATGCAACTTTTTATAAAATAACTTAGGAAGGAAACATGATTGTGATGTGCAAATTGCATATCTGTAATCAGTGGCTCTAGTTAGCCTAGTATAAAAGTTTTAGCTTCTTTGATTTTCTTTTCGGGGCGGGAATGCGACTTTCATGGCTTAAAACCCTCTCCAAAGTTCCTACCCAATCCCACAGTAACGAAAGTAGATCGGATTTTGCTCCATAGTGCAAATCTAAGTTGGAGCGAGCTCTACAGAATGGTGCCTAAAGATCGGCGAAAGACATCGAAGCAAGCGTTACTTACGATCAAACACTGTGAACATTTTTTGGGACACCCTGTATATAAAGCTGAATGTTTGTGTCTGTACATATATTCCAAGTAGAATATTTCTTTGTGTCGATCCGGGTCAAACGTGGCACGCATACGCTTCGGGGAGGGGCGGATGTCATAGGCCACTTTTTATCAATAATCGATTGCGATTTTGTTAATTTTTTTGTAAAAATTTCACCTACAAGGCTGGGAGTTTACACAGGGCGTGAATAAGCATGCCGATTACGAAACTATTGTTGACAGAACCGGACGGAGCCCAATTTCCCAGCTAGTGTTCTATATTCTCTTTCGGAAACACTTCACTTTGGCAAATTATGAGCTTCTAGTAGCTATCGATTTCAACTCATTCTTACATCGGGAAGCCACAACCATCAGTACAAAAAATGGTTGTGTGTCGAAAGGCCCGCGTTTCGACATTCCTCATCCCCAAACCGGATGGTACTTCTAAGACAAGTTTTAGAGTAAAAAACTTTCGTGAATGTACAGGGTGTCCCAAAAATGTGCCTGCTTTCAATCGTGAATACTCTTTTGTCGTGAAAGTTTAAGTACCATTATTTAAAGCTGGCTTCAATTTAGATTTACAACATAAAATTACCGATCTCTCTTCATTAGTGTAGGACTTTGGTGGGAAATTGCAGCATATGGCTCCACTGGAGATAGGCCGCTCGAAAGAAAACTTCCGAACAAATCTGTAAAACTGTGCAGTAAGGTTTTCATGCATGCTTCACTACATAAGTTCTCGCGCGTTCTCAGAGCTTTTTAAGTGGCGTAATCAAATTTTTAAATATCAGAAATGCTACGGTATAATCGGCACAGCCTATAAGAAAGCGCTACGGTGAAGGGCGAGTTTTATATTTGTAATCAGCGAGTCTGACTAGCATAGTGTGAGAGTTTTCAGCTTCTTCAGTCCCTTTTCAGAAATAATACATTTCATTCAACGCCTTGAAAAAACTAATTAGAGAGCTAGCAAGCAAATCCAAGTTTCAACGAGTTTTCAAATAGCATGTGAAGTACTGCAAAGAGCAGATATTTAGAGAGAAGCGCAGCTCTAGAAGTACATTACAAGGACCCCGGCATTAGTTCGTAACTTTGATAGCTTCGTACAGTTTCGTAACTAATGCTAGTCCCCTTCCCCCAAGACTAGGTAGCAAACATTTTGAAGTGTCATTAGTTGTAAAATTACGCAAGTGACACGTTTTTGTCTGGTGTTAATCAATGAGATGTTCAAAGATTTTTTGAAATCTAAGTCAGCCGTGTGAAAATTGTTTTCCAAGGATGGCTAACCATAAAGCACTCCGCTTGCTACCGCTGACGCATGGGCGCAGAAGCACATAGTCCTGAATGTTAGTTGACAGAAAAGCCAGAGGCAGCAAAAGGCTCAAAAGGCATGTGAAGCGATGGTACCTACGGGTAGAAATGTGAAAGACAGGCACAAATATTACTGTGATTCGTTTTTGTTTGAGCAAGAATTGTTGAGAAAAAAACGATTTTGAGTTTGTAATAGCACATGTGTAGTAACTTCAGTAACGGGAAATAGACGTGCATATAAAATTGCACTCGTACAACCATCGTCTACTGGATATTCCAGCATCTCCCAAAAATGCAGGTCACAAGAGTGAACGTTTGAGACAAAACATCGCTCACCACATTCCGACGTCTCGCGCTTGAACGTCGTTGCCTTTTCAATGCGGGTGTTGGGCAACAAACCGAATTTCTTGTACCCCAGAAAACTCCTTTGCAGAAAACGTCACCACGCAAAAGCAGGGGGGGGGGATGGTCGAGGCCGATACATACTTACTTAGATACTTACTTAGATGGCCCGGCTTCACGTGACGTGCGGGCCCCAGCTCAGAAGTTTCCATTTTTCCCTGTCCCTCGCTTCAGACATCCACGATCTTCTTGGCTGACGTCGGTGGCTGCGTCCACGAGTTCCAAGTGCAAAAATCGTATCCAGCTGATTTCTCAGCTGGTCCATCCGTTCCACGAACACGTCTGCCCATCTCGTTGGAGGTCTTCCTCGGGGACGTTTGGCTTCGCGAGGAATCCACTCCGATGTTCTTAGTGTCCATCTGTCGTCTGTTCTTCTCATTATGTGACCGGCCCATCGGTGTTTGGCTTTCGCGACGTATTCCGCTGGGTCACGAAGACGGGACATTCTTCTCATATCCGTGCTGCGAAGTCCGACTAGATGTTGCTTGCGTCGGGTCATCTTCAGAAGACTGCGCTCGAGCGCTCTGTGGGTGGTCCGTAGAGCTTTCGACGTGGCTACAGTGTCGGCCCAAGTCTCAGCTGCGTAACAGAGCGCCGGGAGAACGGTTGAGTCGAACAGGTGGGCACGAAGCTCCGGGTCCGTCAGTTGGTCGGTGGCTTCCTTCAGGGGCCCAGGCTGCTCTTCTTCTCCTTTGAGTTCTTCCCTCAAGTCGTTCTCCATGTTCATCGAACGTCCGAGATACACGTAGGAAGACGTCTCCATAATCGGGGTGCCTTCCAATTCCATTTCTGCATCTTCGCAAAGGGCGTTCTTCATGATCTGAGTCTTCTTCCGATTTATTCGCAGTCCGATCTTCTTCCCTACTTCGTTTAGTTCCTTCAGCATCGTCTCTGCTTCGGTGATACTGCTCGAGAAGAGAACGATGTCGTCCGCAAAAC